CTGCATCTTTCAGTAATGGAGGGATTGACAAGACTATTGAATTATTGGGGTTTAATCCTGGCCAATAACCAGAGCTTTAAAAATTACAGGTTCTGAATCTTCATCTACAGATATTTGATTGAATACTCTAGCACAAGGCCTAGGCATCTGTGTTAAAAATGTCTCAGAGTAATTCTGACAATCATAAGGATTGAGGATCCACTACCCCCATTTAATAGAACTCCTCCATCCATTGATTGAATCTCTTCTACTGAGTTGAACTAAGGGTCTATAATGACATTGATAGACCCCAAAAGGGGACCATGTCCAGGGAACTACATGTATCAGTCAGCTATGTTAGTATAACAAACCATTCCAAAACTCAGTAGCTTAAAACAATAAGCATTTATTATTGCTTATGAGTCTATGGATCTGGATGGATTTGTCTGAGCTCTGCTGGGCTCACTCAAGTGTCTGAGGTGAGCCAGCTGGTCTAGGATTGCCTCACTCACATGTCCAGTGTAAAGTCACTGTTACCTGGGGTGACGGGGTCTCCGCGCCCCAGCAAGCAAGCCTATGAATGTCTGTCTATAGTGCAAGAGATGCCGGATTCTTGCAGGGAAAGAAGTGTGTGAGTGAACCTCTGAAGACCTGGGCTTGGGACCTAGGCTTGGAACCAACATACCTGGACACCTTCACTTCTATTTGAATTCTGTTCCAAAGTAACTAATAAGGCCAAGCCCACATTCAGGGGCTGGGAAAAGAGACTCCACTCCTTGATAAAAAAGCTGCAAAGTCCTATCTTAAGGAAATAGATTCAAAGAGGAGAATAATTGTGACCATTTAAAAAATTAATCCATTACACAGCATAACACCCTGGGGGTGGAGGTGAGAGCACTTTTGGCCAAATGTGATTTCTAAGCGAGGGCTGAAGTTTTCACTCTCATCTCAAAATGTTACCAAGTCCACAGGTTAAAGCTTCATCTGATATTCATTAGTTCTACTCCTGTCTGTACACACACACACCTTACTTAACCCTCAAGGTCTCAGTCTGAAACTAAATTGAAAGCAATCTATTTACTCTCAGCACTATTTCGTATTAACCTTTGGGGTTCTTTTTTTTTTTTTTTGAGACAGAGTCTTGTTCTGTCACCAGGTGCCAGGCTGGAGTGCAGTGGCACGAGCATGGCTCACTGCAACCTCCACCTCCCGGGTTCAAGCAATGCTCCTGCCTCAGCCTCCCAAGTAGCTGGGACTACAGGCACGTGCCACTACACCCAGCTAATTTTTGTATTTTTTAGTAGAGATGGGGTTTCACCATGTTGGCCAGGATGGTCTCCATCTCTAGACCTCGTGATCCACCTGCCTCAGACTCCCAAAGTGCTGGGATTACAGGTGTGAGCCACCACGCCCGCCCCCTTTTGGGGTTCTTTAAGAGGATTGAATGACATGCAACTCTTATGAGGATGTGTTCAGGACAAGTCTCTGTGATGTCTCCTCCTGGTTTAGGATGTGCCTACAGATGAAATGTGACAATGATCATCAGGGCTACACCCTCCAAAGGACCCAGAGCATTACCATGAGGAGCACCGAAGCATAAAAAGAAGAGCAGGAAACTGGAGCTGCTTGACAACTACAGGCCGATGCTAATTAGATTTTAGCCACCAGCTGTTTCCTAGGCTCTCTGCATTCTATCTCTCTTCTTTACTCACCCTCGCCAGACTGTGACCACTTTGAAAATGCACTAATACTTCAGGGCCTGAATCTGCAACTATTTTCCCTGATCCAAGCTCCAAGATGCATGCAGTCTGTCTAGGATATAGCAGCAGTTATCCTAGCATCGCTACAGCTAAGGTGCTGCTTTCTATTTTTCAGAAAAATCACCATGACCTTTTGGATAGCTCCACTAAAATTCTTCAAATGTTTACGTGTGGGCCAGGCCTGGTGGCTCATGCTTATAATTACAGCACTTTGGGAGGCCAAGGGAGAAGGATCACTTGAGCCCAGGAGTTTAAGATCAGCCTGGGTGACAAAGTGAGAGCCTGTTTCTTTTTTTTTTTTTTTTTTTTAGTTAAAAGAAGAAGAAGAAGAATTCAAACACAAGATGGTAGTGGTGGCCACAGCTAGCTAGTGTCTGAAGGCTTTCTGGAGGTGATTTAGCAACTGGTAAGGAGAAAGTACATGCTGCTCAAAGGCAAGGCTGTCTCAAGTCCATAGTCTGATACCTATTTATATATCCAGTTTTCAGTCTGCTTGGTACAGTCACTGATTAAAGGACTAAGCAACAGGAGTAGATGAAAAACACAATGAAATAAAAAGAAATGCTAAATTCACCATGAAGTTGCCTCAGAAAAGCCAAATTCAAGCAGATGTTGCATTCACTTTGCTTCAGAAAGAAACCCCAGGAAGTTCTAAAAACACACCAAAGAGGCCATGAATGGGAGCGTATGGCAGATGCACTTGAATGTGTTCAGAGTTCTAAGCTAAGGATTCTGGGAGCAGCCATCCCTGAGATCCATTTCTTAACCATGAGGAACATCTGAAGCCCCCATCCCATCCCACGGAACCCGGCCATACCGGGGATCAAGGCCCTTTGGTTTGGGTTAAATGAAGGTGGCCAGATGAAGTTTGGGGGAAGGTGGTAAGTGAAAATCCTATATAAACTGCATGCTTTTGCTTTTTTTTTTTTTTTTTTTTTGAGACAGAGTTTCGCTCTTGTTACCCAGGCTGGAGTGCAATGGCGCAATCTCGGCTCACAGCAACCTCCGCCTCCAGGGTTCAGGCAATTCTCCTGCCTCAGCCTCCTCAGTAGCTGGGATTACAGGCACGCGCCACCACGCCCAGCTAATTTTTTGTAGTTTTAGTAGAGACGGGGTTTCACCATGTTGACCAGGATGGTCTCGATCTCTTGACCTCGTGATCCACCCACCTCGGCCTCCCAAAGTGCTGGAATTATAGGCGTGAGCCACTGCACCCGGCCGCTTTTGCTTTTTATAAGTGGTTGTGGCTTTCCTGTTCAGCCTGCTGCCAATGGACCATCCCTCTACATAAGTTTCCCCTAAAAAAACCTGTCATGTTTGCTGGCCCTAGGTCTCTTCTTCCACCTCTTGACCTTGATGCCATCTCTACTGAAGTTAATAGGGGTCTAGCACTACATGGAGGAAATGTTACCAACAGTCTTCTAAACTGTATTCTATTCCTGAGCACTGATTCTGGGAGAGAAGCACGTTTGGGGTGGTGATGTTTCTGTACTGTAATGTGTAGCATCAAATGTACAAATACCTGTGAGAGTCAGGATGGCTATCAATGTCGTTAAGTGCATGGGCAACTTTGAGTGACTTCCATTAGTCTTTTAATCATAACTGAAAAGTCACAAATGTGAACCAGCAATCATTAGGCAAAATCATCATCATGGTTCCCACCTCCACTTCTTGCTCATTTGGCCTCCAAATAAGTGGTGTTCTGGGATTGTCCTTTAATGAGCTGGCTGATGGGGCTGCAGGCAATCTATGCTTTCGATTAATCAGCCAAGGGGAAACTAGAACCACAAAAAAGCAAACTACTGGTATTATGACCACAGGAACCCTGGGCATGGCAACGATGAAGTATTGGTGATTTATCTCCAGCAAAAGACATACTGCACTTTCCTGAAACTTAGAAGAGGGGCATTCACCCTAAGAAAGGTATTTGCACCCTACCTGTGACCCTCCCCACTCATCGCCTCACTCACAGCTAACTTCATAGGCTTTCTATATGCCAGAAAGTTCAGATGTGCCATCTTGGTACACCGTGTTTTAGGGCGATTCACTGCAGTTCTAGAAACCTAGACATGTTAAGCACAGGCTGCTCCGTACGGGGCATCCTTCAGTTGCCTGCACAGAGTTGCCGAAAACAAACCTGTGCTGCATATTCAGAGTCACTTGGCACAGGCCAAACCTTCACAGGTGTCACGGCAGTGCCTCTGGTTTGCGCAGTTTGTACTGCAGTTTCCCACACTGCTCTCCTATAAAACCCTTTAGCTCAGCATCCTCGCACTCTGATATAAACACAATGTAATTCCTCAAATTCACTTTACATGTAGCCTTGTCTTTCCTACATTTTTATTAATATCTTCCCGGGTATTAAAGTTTGGGCTAGGACAGGAACCAGAGGCAGTAACTTTATTCCTTCACATGACGGTGAACCAACAGCTTGTGTTTAGAATAAATATTTGAGACACAGAAGCCTGTTAACAATGCAGTGCTTGATTACTCTGAATTACTCTCTCACCCACAGCAACTGAGGGAAAGGGCCTTGGCACCAGCTCCCTGCACAAAACCTGCTTCCCAGCCTCCACCATTTGCCTCCAGACCATTCTCTCAAAGAATTCTCAACACACTATACAAAGATCTCAGTTTTCTCTCTTAAATGAGACACAAATTCCACATTGAACATCAGACTTTTTTTTTTCCCACAGCACCACAGATTTAATTCAATACGTTCATGTTCGCAAATATTTAATTGTAAGACTTACCTTGTAGCTCTTTTCCTGAAACCCCACCTTGCATCTTTCCTTCAACACTGAACTCCTTTAAATAAAGCTCCTGTGTTTTGTTGTGAGACAACACATCATCTTGGTCTGTTACAAAGCTATGGTGACACTTCAGCCACATTTCAATTAGTCAGAGGTGCCTATCTATTAAAATGCCCACAACCCTTCACACTTTTTCTTCCTCAAAACCTATCTGGTAAGCAATGTAGTTTTTTTGTTTTGTTTTGTTTTTCTACAGTGCCAAAAGTGTAAGTTGTACTAACTAGAGGTAATTAGTTAAGTTTTCTTCCAAGGCCATGCTATCAGGTTACAACTTCTAATAAACCCTGCTGCGAAAAGACATTTCTTTGTCTTGGGACCACCGAGAACTAAGCAAACAAAACACCTTCAATTGTCTCAGAAACTCTGCCATCTAAACACAATCAGAAAGAAAAGCCAACACCAAAGCAAATAAAATGAATGAAGTGGTCCTGCTGCTGGCAGCCCTTACCATTGGGAGCGGAGGCCCCCTCCGGACCCTCGCAGGGGTTCTGGCTCCTCCTGGGCTGGGGAGAGGGTGGCGAGGGGTCCAGGCGATGGGTGTGGGTGGAGGTATGCTCCGAGCATGCTTGAACAGGACTCACTGCCGTCTGCCTGCCTGTCTGCCACTCGGTCCTCTCGTCTGGGTGGGAAGGGCCAAGATGAAAAAAAAAATGTGCAGGTTACTCACTGGCCTTCTCCGGCGGGCAGACACACCCAGGAGGAGGGAGAGGCCAGGCGCAGACAGGAGAGTCTTCAGAGGCTGAGCCTGAGATCTCCCTTCAGATTTCCTTTTGTTATTACTTCCTGAACTTTAAGCTCAGTCTGCATGGGCATGAGTACTTAGGGAGGCAAATAACACTTGAGTAATTAGATTCTAAGGGCTTAATGCAAAGGTTACTTCGAAAAGGCAATGCTTTAGCACACATCCTTTTGCATTTCACCCTGAAATTTGTTTCCACTGTGTTAGAGTGTTAACACTGGCATAGGAAATGAGAGTGAAGGGTTACTCTGGGGCAGGGATCTGGAAGAGCCTGGGGCAAGCAAACTTGGATGTGATTTAAACAATGAGTTTCTAGAGTTTAACTTTTAGAATGAATTTTGGAGAAACAGGATTCTCAACAGTATCCTAGTGCCTATGGACTCAGCCTTGTCCAAGAGGCACATTCTTGAAGTAGGTATCTATAAATCAAGATTTTAGAAATGGATTCACGTTGTAAATGGAAGAACTTGTTATTTGACCGCCTGGCCTCTGATTAATCCTGACATGAAGGCTTTCACAAATGGATAATTTGTCAGTTTGGGATGAAGCATGGGTGTTCATAAACAAAGGCATGGCAGTCATACAGCCTAGAGAGGTGGAACGGAGGATGAGAGAACAGGTACTTGCCTCAATTAATCCTGAAAATGTACTTACGAGGGAGAATATTCCTCTTTCACACGTGAGCACACTGAGACCCAGAGGTTGGGGAACTTCGCTCATGCTGGGCCAGCTAGTAAACGGGACACCCAGGATTTGGACCCAGGTTTGCCTGAACCCAAGACCTGGTATCCTTCCCCCACACAGCCAGGCATGCCTGTCACCCCTCCAACGCTCGCCTTTCTTCCACTTGCAGCTGACCTAAGGCTAGGTATCTTCTCTTAAATTTTTATAACTTTTCCAAAACTGATATACCATGAAATATAATTCTGTGGGTTTTTTAATAAGTGCAATAAAAGTAGAAAATGTACTGTATAGGTTCTTTACTGTAGCTTCTTACAGCCTTTTGTATGCTAATATACGCCATGACTCTTTAAGTTCAGGACCTACAGCCCCCAAAGAGGGAAGGGATCTTCTGAGTTTGGGAACAGTATTATAGAGATGTGTTGTTGCTCTTTCTTCTTCTTTTTTGAACTTATTAAAAAATCTCAAACAGTATATAAAGGCATAAAATAAAAAGTAAAAAGTTCTCTATTATTTTTAACCATCAGTCCCATTCCCCAGAGGTAACAACTGTTAGCAATTTCTTATGTATCTGGTTCAGAAATGTTTAGCTATAAAAAGCATATGACTAACTTCTTAAAAACAACGTAACTGGGATTAAAGGATACCCATGATGTGTTATTTGGCACTTAAAAAAAAAAAAACTTAATGATACAGTTGAGATTTTCCATATCAGCATATAGAATTGTCTAGGCAAGTTAGTGTCAAGACAAGTAAAAGTTAGATTTAAAATACTGAATTACCACTTTATAGAAGGGTCTGCAGCATGGGCCACAGTATGCTTCATGACTCAGTGTCAGAAACTGGACTTTCCGTTTCAGCTCTAGCTCTATAACTTCCACACTTGACATCCACGTATAGAATGGGAAGGACCCTACGACCAATCTCATAGGTGGCTATGAGGGTCAGTAACAATAATGGCAATGATAACAATGCCAACAGCCCCAGCCAACACTTACCCAGCACTTACTCTGAGCTAGGCACTTTTGTTAATGCTTTCTATGTATTAACTGAATAAAGCCTTACCCCAAATGACCCCAGCAATCAGTTCCTATTATTATTCTCATTTTACAGATTGAGAGAGCCATTTCAGAGTGTGTACAAGAAGGGCAAAATAAATGCTTGAAGTTTTATTAATGAAGCAAACATGATATTGGCCACCTTAATTTTTGCCACACTGTGTTCCTAAATGCCGTACTATAAAGTGGATCCTATTTTCCCTTAGGAATAATGCAATTGTGAGTTCTGTTCCAAGACCTCATGTTGGCTTCTTATGAATTCAAGACATAATCAATAAAATCTTGTGAAAAAAAAGAGATACAACAATAAATCTCATAATCAGGTAAAACAGTAAAACGATGTTCCATGACTCAGATTTTGTGAGATTGGTTCATACAGCCCCTCCTTTTTACTGATGATGGAAGTAATATCCAGAAGATTGTGTGCAACTTCTCCGAAAGTACACACCTTTTTACACTGTCTCAGTAATGAAACAATTTTAAAATGTGCCCACATTTGAAACCTGTATTACACAAGGAAACTGCAACATACTCTATAATATATATAGAAACTTATTGTGTCACAAATTTGACACAATATTAATATACAAGTTAGAACAAGCATTGACGCATTTTATGAGAAATAGCTTCCCCTGCCTGCCTCCTTAGAATTAAAAGGTCATTTGAGGAATGATTTGACTGACTCATTTCTTAGAAAAGCTGTCTAGGGATAATGTGAATCAATACATTCTGATTTTCTTTTCTTTTCTTTTTTTTAATATGAAGTCTTGCTCTGTTGCCCAGGCTGGAATACAGTAGTGTGATCTCAGCTCACTGTAACCTCTGCCTCCTGGATTCAAGCTATTCTCCTGCCTCAGCCTCCTAAGTAGCTGGGACTACAGACTTGCACCACCACGCCCAGCGAATTGTATTTTTAGTAGAGACAGGGTTTCACCATGTTAACGAGGATGCTCACGATCTCCTGACCTTGCGATCTGCCTGCCTCGGCCTCCCAAAGTGCTAGGATTACAGGCGTGAGCCACCGTGCCTGGCCAGTACTTTCCTATTTTCTCAATATATTTATCTATATAAACCAGAGGCTTTCAACATCAGTCCATGGGTTTTATCCCTTCTAACACAGTTGCAGAAGCATCTTCATAGTTTGACACATTACTTGGGACCTTAGCTTGATTTGGGGTGCAAAGTTTGACCTAATCCCCTCTTGCCAATTCTTCTTTATTCTTTAAACTCTCTTTAAACGTGATTACAATTGAATAGGTACTATGCATTTTACTCTCAAGTTTAAAAAAAAAAAAAGTGACAGAGAAACTAATTTCTTCCCCCTTCCAGCTCTGACTCTCATCTCAATATTTGACTATAACTTTCAGCACAGTGCCTAGAGTATGGTAGGGGCCTGTTATTTAGCTATTTTCCCCTATCCTGCCCTCTAATTTAGTGTAATCTTCCTGTCCAATGGACTCACCACTAACAGGTCTCTCCTCCCCTCCCCTCCCCTCCTTACTCCTTCCCTCCCGTCTCTTCCCTTTCCATCCCTTCCCTTCCCTTCCCTTCCCTTTTCCTGAGAGGGAGTTTCACTCTTGCTGCCCAGGCTCAAGCGTAATAGTATGATCTTGGCTCACTGCAACCTCCATCTCCTGGGTTCTAGCAATTTTCCTGCCTTAGCTTCCAGAGTAGCTGGGATTACAGGCACCCACCACCACACCTGGCTAATTTTTTCATATTTTTAGTAGAGATGGGGTTTCACCATGTTGGCCAGGCTGGTCTTGAACTCCTGACTTCAGGTGATCCACCTGCCTCAGCCTCCCAAAGTGCTTGGATTACAGGCGTAAGCCACTGAGCCCAGCTTGTTTTCTTATTTTTGAGGTCAGGAGTTCAAAACCAGCCTGGCCATCATGGTGAAACCCCATCTTAAATTTAAAAAAAAAAAAATGATGTCCATCCAAACAGAAGTCTACAGCGTGAATAGATATCACTGTCCTGCTCTGAAATACATACACATGTAAAAGACGCAAGTGCTTGCTTCAGCCGCTCTACAGCCAGTAATAGGGAAAAAACAGCAATGCACAATGGCGTTGAAGACAGAGTCTGAACCCCACTTCTGCCACATATGCTCTGGTCAAGTCAAAGGTCAGAGTTCCAGATTCCTGGTCTCTTGAGTGAGGATGATATCCTCTCCCTCATAAGGCTGTGACTGAAGATTAGCTGAAAGATGTAAGACATTCTGTAAACTGCAGAGTACCACACAAATGTCAGGCTGTAACCTCACTGCTTCTGACTCTCTGAATATGGTGGCAGTGGGTGTGATAATTGCTTTAAGAGAAGAACCAAGTTGTTTCTGTTCTTCTGGATTCCCCAGCACATGATTGACTCAGCTGCTGCTCCCAGAGCCGGTCCATCATGCTACTAAATTGCAGGAGAAAATGGGATTAGCTTATTCTCCCGTGGACACTAACCTTTTCCTTCATTCCTCTTGCCTTAGCAGACCTCCTGAACTACTTCCTCTTCGCATATTTACAAAACTATTTTTAAAATCATTACGGAAAATTTCAAACATACATAACAATGGAGAGAAAGGAGTAGCAAACGCCTCACTTCGGGCTCACTAGCTTCAACAATTATCAATTCATTAAATACTTGTTTCATCAATATCACTATCCACTCTGGATTATTTTGAAGCAGATTCCCAATATCATATCATTTTATCCATAAACATTTCTGCATGTATCTCTAAAATATAAGGATTCTGTTTTTAAACACAATCAAAATATTACACCTAAAATGTGACAGCTGGGCACGCCTGTTATTCCAGCAGTTTGGGAGGCTGAGGCTGGTGGATCACCTGAGGTCAGGGGTTCAAGACCAGCCCTGCCAACATGGCAAAGCCCCATCTGCCTGTAATCCCAGCTACTCAGGAGGCTGAGGCCGAGAATTGCTTGAACCGCAGAGGTAGAGGTTGCAGTTAGCTGAGATCGAACCACTGCACTCCAGCCTGGGCAACAGAGCAAGACTCCGTCTTAAAATAAAATAAAATAAAATATGAATTATAATTATTTAACATTATCCAATATCCAGACAGTATTAAATTCCTCTTAATATCGCCAAGATTTTTTTTTATACTTTGTTCAAGTCGATATTGCAATT